AGTATAAATAAACTTAAGAATAATAAGGCCCCAGGAGAAAGCAATGTAGTAGCAAAATTATTAAAAAATAGTGGGGAAACTCTGAAAAACGAAATATGGAAAATGATCTATCTTATTTAGGAAAAAGAAATAGTTCCTGAAGAGTGGAATTTGTCGATATTATGCCCATTGTTTAAAAAAGGAGACGTACTGGACACAAAAATCTATAGAGGAATTTCTTTATTGGATACGTGCTATAAGGTATTATCAATAATTCTCTTAAACGGATAACCCCATACGCTGAGGAGATTTTAGGACGGTACCAATGTGGATTTAGAAARGGAARGTCAACTACAGATCAAATATTTATCTTGAAACAAGTAATGGAGAAACATTATGAATTCGACAAAGACCTATACATGGTATTGTCKACTATAAACAGGCGTACGATAGTATAAACAGGGAAGAGTTATGTAACACATTGATCCACTTCGGTATACCGAAAAAATATGTTAATATGTTAAAACTGTGCAATAACAAATCAAAACGCAAAGTGAAATTTCTGTGAGAACTATCATCAGCCTTTGAAGTAAAATCGGGCCTACGGCAAGGAGATGCTTTATCCCCAACTCTATTCAATTTAGGTCTCGAAAGGGTGATTCGAGAAATAAATCATGGTCATCAAGTTGAGGTGGTAAATAAAGAAATAATATTGGCGTACGCAGATGATATCGTTATTTTAGGAAACACAAGACAAGATATCRCCCAGACAATGTCTAACCTTGTAACGACCCRTAAAAGAATGGGACTTTGTATTAACGAAGAAAAAACAAAATTTATGGTACTTTCCAGGAGAAGAGAAGATCAGCCTAATCTATAAGTAGATAATTTCATATTTGAAAGTGTAGAAAGTTTTRAGTATCTAGGTGTAAACATAAACAATAAAAATGGSATGCATCAAGAAATAGTTCAACGGTTAGCATKTGGAAACCAATGCTACCATAGCATCCMAAARTTATTGAAATCTAAATTGTTGTCGAGAAGGTCGAAACACTGCTCTATATCAGTTATATGAGACTTACGCGTGTGAGACTTGGTCTACGACGAAAGGTGATAACAAAAAACTGGCAATATTTGAAARCAAGGTTTTGAGAAAAATGTTTGGCCTGGTGTACAATCTCGATCTAGGAACATTCGAAAGGTGGAAAAACGAAAATKTGTACGTTTATAAGAACTAAGAGAACGGAGTGGTTTGKACATATTTGGAGAGCTGAAGATGATATACTAAATAGGTCATAACCACAACGATACAAAAAAAACGACCACTGGGTAGACCACGAACGAGATGGAAGGATGCTGTGATAAGGTGTCTGTTGAATTAACACTCTCACTCACTAACATAGAMAGGTGGAGAGACTTACTTGTGGCAGCTCAGGCCCTTCAAGTACCGTTAAGCTGAAGAAAGAAGAAGACGTTATACTTATACTTTGGCACATCATTCTCAACATAAACACTTGATTGATAAATTTTGTTAGTCCACCGATATCGAATACTGCATAAGTTTTTAAGTACTTTATATTCCCAATATTTATGATCATCATCTAATAATATACATGGATTACCTTTTTTAGTCTCAAACKTTTTAGAATAAATAGATCCATTTTTAACACTTGTTAGTTTCACGATGGCACATTTTACGAAACAAAAATATCAACACGTTTCAYAACAACCAACAGTCAGCTGCASCTAAGATGTAAARTCCGTCAGACGCATATCTGTCTGATATATTATATACAGATAAGATAAATTACCAATAAAATGTTATCTCRATAATAATCTTTTAAATGTATGTACAATATAATAATAATTCCTTAAATACCCGGTTATTACTTACTATTTAGTTTATGCCTTATAGGATATCGATCTTAAATTGAACCTAAGTCTTTACTCTTTATCTTATACTTGCATAGACATTGGGAAAATATG